ACTGAAAAAATCGCACAGTGTGAGCCGGCATTACCTGAGTGGTTGGTGAGTGAATTCTGGAAGCTGCGAGAGATGCTAAATGAGTGGCGGTCACAAGATGGCCAAGCCAACTTTATTTCTAAAGCACTTTAAAATAGTAACCACTGACCAAAGTGCTAGACATAGCAACAAAAATAGAAATTAAATAGATAAATATATTGAAAAAATGAATAAAATTAAAATGACAACAGAAGAGGTGGTCTTAAGAGCAGATCTAGAAATTGGGAAGAGGCTTGTCTAATGTGAAACGGCAACAAATTCCACAATTTGGGAGCCACTATGGCAAAAGCCCTATCCCATCTGAGCTCGCGTCTATTCAGGCAAATCCCCAGTAGAAGTCTAGGGGAGCACAACTCTTGGCCCTGCCCTCAATAAATAAAGTATAGTATAATTTAATATAGTATAGTATTTTTGCATACAATTCCTTTGAAAACCAAAAACCAATAGTAGATTTATGCTATCTTTAGTCAGTAATTTATGCACAGCAACAGAAATGCATCTTCTGTTAGTATCTCAGCGTTTTTGTACATTGAAATTACAAGTGCCTCTCAAATCATGTTTGAATCACACATCGGGGAAAAAACCATTTTGGAAGCACTCATGGAGACTTTCAGCTTTATTTCCATTATTTTACAATAAAGCAAATAATGAAACTTCATAATGTTGGACTTAAACTGGAAACAGTAGGATCAGTGTGATTACAATAACCATTGCATTCTTAATAATACTGTTCTGTCGCGTAATAAAATTATTGAATTTGTTGTTTTAAGGGTCAGTTAAAAATGTGGATATAAATATTTTGGGATTTATTTAGCATTTTGTTTTTTTCAGGTGGTGGATTTCCGCAAGAAGTCCATCATGTACTTTGATTCTATGGGAGGAAACAACGACAAAGCATGTGAAATATTGTTGTAAGTTTCTGTAGCAGATGTGCAATATCTGTTTAAATGGTGTGTTTTGAGAGGTAAACTCACTGAGATCGCACTTTTGCACTTCAATTTTGTTTTCCAGTGAATACCTGCAACAGGAAAGTAAGGACAAAAAGGGCAAAGAACTGGATACCTCAGGCTGGATTCTGCACAGCAAAACACGCAATGTAAGTTCTACAGACAAGTGTTCAAATCACACGGTTTCAGGAATTTTAGATGGGATTTCATTATCTGCCTCACAGTTTTATTTATTTGGCATTTTACTTGTTTCTCTTCTATCAGACACTGTTCTACAGTTGAATCTGATAGCTGTAGATCTATAAAGTTCTTTTTGTTTTTTTGTAAAGCCCTCACTAGGTTTTTGGTAACAAATGGTTTCAAAATAGTGACAAAAATGTTAGTAGTCCAGTCTGAGATTTTAAGTATATAATGTTTTGCTGCTTTTGTAAGCCTCCGCGAGATATGAAAGCCATGTTACTGGAGCGTGGATGATTTGAAATGTTTAAAGATCCAGTTTCTTATGTTTGTGACTTTTGTTTTCTGAATTTTCAAATTAGTTTCTCAGCAGCTTTTACTGTCAAGACATTTTATAGATAATTTGTCAAAGGCTACGTTCACACTGCAGGTCTTAATGCTCAATTCCGATTTTTTTGTCTGCTCGTTCACACTACAAATAAAATGCGACAGCAAAACGCTCTAGTGTGAACGCTCAAAGCAGCCGCATGCGCAAAAAAAGACGTCACACACAACGCGCTCTGTTTTAGACCCAGACCAACAATATTGTTTGACAGATGGCC